CTGGAGGACGGGCACTGCCCAACTTGAAGACTCCGCTGTGCAGCCACCCAGTGCGGTACTGGTGAACCATCAGGCAAGGAGATGGACGGACCAGGACAGAGGGCCCACTAACAGACCCCCACGAACAGACTCAACTGATCTTGGACAGAGGAGTGAATGCACTGATGGAGTAAACGTAGCCCCTCCAACAAACAGCGCGGGAACAACAACCACAGGCAGGAATGTGAATCCAAACACAGACTTTACACCCTTCCCGAAAACTAACTCACAATGGTTCATAGACTGAAAGGTAAAACACAGAATCTACAAAATTCCTAAAGTATAACACAGGAGAGAATCTACTGTCTTGACTTTTAAGGTACACCAAAGACATGAGCCATGCGTGAAATAATTGATAAGCTGGACGTCATTAAAATTTAAAACTTCTGTTCTGCAAGAGACAATATAAACAGAATTAGAAGACAAGCCACAGACTGGGAGAATGCATTTCCAAAAGACATATCTGATAAAAGATTGTTATCCAAAATATACAAAGAACTCTTAAAATTCAACAATAAGAAAACAAACTAACTAAAAAATAAGCCAGAGACCTTAACAGACACCTCATTGAAGAAGATCCACAGACGGCAAATAAGCATATGGAAAGATGCTCCACATCACACATCATCAGGGAAATGCAAATTAAAACGAGATACCACTGCACACCCATGAGCACGGCCAAAATCCGGAACACCGGCGCCACCAAACGCTGGTGAAGCAACAGGAACTCCCACTGATGGCTGCTGAGAATGCCGGAGGGTGCGGCCACTTTAGAAGACAGTTTGGTGGTTTCTTATAAAACTAAAAATACTCTTACCATATGATCCAGCAATCACACTCCTTGTTATTACCCAAAGGAGCTGAAAATTTATGTCCATGCAAAAACCTGTATACGTATATTTATTGCAGCTGTATTCATTAATGCCAAAACTTGGAAGCCACCACACTGCTCTTCAGTAGGTGACTGGATGGATAAATCATGGTACTTCCAGGCAATGGAATAGTGCATAGTACTAAAAAGAAATGAGCTATCAAGCCATGGAAAGACACAGAGGAAGCTAAAGTGCATATTACTAAGTAGAAGAAATCAATCTGAAAAAGCTACACACTATATAATTTTAACTGTAGATTTTAACTGTAGAACATTCTGGAAAAGGCAAAACTATGGAGACAAAAAGATCAGCGGTTTCAGGGATGGGGTCACATGAGCAGACAGAGCAGAGAGGACTTTTAGGGCAGTGGAGATACTCTGTATGATAGTACGTGATGAGCATATGTCAGTACACATTCATCCAAACCCGCAGAATGTACAACACCCGGAGTGAACCCTCATGTAAACTATGGACTCCGTGATAATGACGTGTCGGTGTCAGTTTGTCAGTTACAGTGAATGTTCCACTCTGGTGAGTGAGCGTTGTTGACACTAGAGACGCTACTCACGCGTGAGGGGCAGGGGGCATACAAGACTTCCCTGTGCCCTCTCAATTTTGTTGTAAACCAAAACTGCTCTAAAAAAAAAAAAGTAATAAAAAACATTAGAGCGGGTGCCCTGTGGGGGCAGGGAAATAGAAGTGGGGAATCAGAGATGAAGGGGGAGAAGCCAGAGTGCAATGTGATCATCGCTACAGGACCTCATACCAAGGTTGGGGCGGAGAGGCAAAGCGGGCCTCGCTGAGAGGCTGCACGGACTCTGGCTGAGTGGGGTTGTCTGCTCAGAAGGGAAGGGATGGGCCCTGTAGGCAGGAAGGACCGCTGGGCAAAGGCCCAGAGGTGGGCACAGCTGGTGCCTTGGAGGGACTCAAAATGTTTCAGCGGGACTGAAGCCCAGCTGTCCTCTCAGCCTGGGAGACACCTACTCAGCCCTCACGTACCTCTGGGCCAACTGAGAGGGCGCGTGGTTGGGGAAAGAGACCAAACGACCTGAGCTCCTGCACTGGCCCACTGGGTGGCCTCAGGCAAGTCGCTTTTCTCTCTTAGAACCTCGGTTTCTTCATCTGTAAAATGGTTATGAGAACAATACCTGCCTCTGACAGTTGTAATGGGGAGGAAGTGAGATGAGCAAAAGACAAAGTCCTTGCCCCATAGTCTAGTGGACAAATAAATGTGTAGCATGTTCACTTCCGCATTCCCAGAACCGGGAATTATGCTGGGAACATAGTAGGTGCTCAATTAATACTTGTGGATGAATGAGTGAAAGCAGGGATAAGTGCTATGGAAATAAGTAAAGCAGGGTTAAAGGGGAGTGGGAGAGCCGCCGGAAGGGTGCTGGGAGGTAGGAGGGGCAGTTGCTGTTCTAGTCCCAGGGGTCAGGGAAGGCCTCCCCGAGGAGATGAGATTGGAGGGAAGATTGGAAAGAATTAACTAAGAAGATAAGCTAAGAAGATATTGGGGCAGTGCCTGCCAGGCAGAGGTGGGCCCCAGGGTCAGTGAGAAGGCCAGTGTGACCCGAGCAGAGCGAGCCTCAGAGGGCAAGGGGAGCTGAAGCCTCTCGGGCAGGTGAGCTGAGACTGTGGCAGGAACTCCACCCGGGGACAAAGCCTGGAATAGCCGAAGCTGCTCCTCAGACTGGGGCCCACCCTCCCCAACACTTCCCCAAACCCCTCTCGGGTGGTGAGCCTCTCTGTGTCTCGGGCTCTGGCTTTTTTTGGCATCGACGAAGGGAACCATCACCAGCCCTACTAATGGGCACTATTATTATCACCAGTTTTCCAGAGCAGGAAACCCAGACATCGAGAGGCACCTTGCCTTGGGCCAAAACCAGGCCTCTGATGCCAGACCCTGGCTTGCTCCTACCACATTGTCCTGGAATTCTTTGTTTACAACTTGCCTTCCCCTCTGGGCTGCAGAAGTCCAGGCTCAGTCTCATTCATGGTTTTATTTTACTCCCCGGGTCCCATGTGTCAAAACCTGCCAGAGGAGCGAATGAATGAATGAGCTCACCAAGTCCGACCCCTCCCTGCTTCGGGGCCCAGTTCATGCCCTGTTTGGCTTCTCCCATCGAGTTGGAACGGGGAGGGGACCGGACAGAGGAATTTCAGGCCACCTGAAGGTGGAGAGCTGAAGAGAGGGGGAGAAGGGGGAGAAAGCGAAAGTGAAGGGAGCCGGGAGCCCCTGTAAGGAGGCGCAGACAGGGAAGGAAATCTCCCGGTAATAATTCATCGGCTCAGGAAGCAGCAGCCTGGCCTGGGGCTGCACGTGGGACTGGCCCTGCGGAGAGGGGGCTGTGCAACCTCCTCCTCCTCCTCCTCCTCCTCCTCCTCCTCCTCCTCCTCCTCCTCCTCCTCCTCAGCAAAGCCCATCCTGGCCAAGGTCATGGTCAAATGTAGGAGTAGGGGGAGCCAGGTGTGGGAACAGACTTTTCCGCACACACTGGAGCCTGAAGACTTTAGGGGCTGCTCCCCTGGCAGCCAAGGGACACCCTCCAGCCACCACCCAGCTCCTCCCCCCCACCCCCCCACATTCTGGCCTGGGTCAAGGAAGTTGGAAAAGCACAGCAATGTGGCAGAGCTGGGAGACATCTTCAAGAAAGGAAGGAAGAGAGCCTGAAAGCACCTAGCAGCCTTTCAACTTCACTCTGAGCTCTCTCTGCCACACGAGCTGCCACTTGGGCTGAGAGGAAGTGTTCGTCCAGGCCAAGTGGATGCAGGCTTGGCCAGTCCCCGGGATAGAGCCGGGAAGGGGGTGAGAGTGACACAAGGAACCTAGCAGCCGTCATCAGCTCAGTGATTCTCCCCAGGGCCTCTGAGGAGGAAGACATGTCAGACTGAGCAGGCTGAGGTCTCCTGAAGGAAGGAAGGCAGTAGGGAAGGTAGCGTGTTGGTGGGGGTGGCATTCCAGCGGAGGGAACAGCTTGGGGTAGGGGTGGCGGGATCGGTGTAAGAGTCAGGGAGTCTGCAGCTGTCCAAGGCGGGACTGTGGAGAATGAGGGAGAGAAACTTGCATTTGATTTGCAGGAAGCCGGGAGCGGGGGTGGGGGAGGCAATAGTGAAGCCACACAGGCTGTGGCTAGTGCCCCCACTCACCCCTTGTAAGACTGAAGGCCAGAGCTCTTACCTGGAAGTCAGGGGTACTCCCCCACGGCTTCAGTGAGGAGTTCTAAAGAGTACAGTGTCTGTCTGGTGACTGGCACACAGTAGGACCTCAAACAAAATGTCAGCTCTGTGAAGGCAAAAATAAATCGTTTTGTTTAAGTCTGTATCCTCAGACTTAAAACCATGCCTGACACTTAGTAGGGACCTAACGAGTATGTGTTGAACTAATAAATGAGTGAATGGAACTACTGGTGTGTGTGTGTTTTGTTTTTGCTTTGGTTTGGTTTGGTTGTTGTTTTTTAAGTTTGTCACCAGAGACGTGACACCATCGAATCCTTGTTTGGAAAGATTACAGTGTTTCTGCAAGTGTTCCCCGCGGACAGCCCCATCGCGCTGGAACTGCAGATTCCTGGGCCCCGTTCCAGACCTGCTGTATCGGAACAGGGGAGTCGGGATTCTGTCCTGTCAACGCCCCCCTTTCCTATTTCTTACACAAGGAAGTTGCAGAACCACAGGATTAGAATTTGAGGGCACAAAAACCCGAACTGGTCTCTCCCAACTTTCTTTCCGAACGAGGAAACTGAAGCCTAGGAGAGAAGGGACCTGCTCTCAGTCTCTGCAGGCTTAGGCTGCGGGTAACCAGACTGTTTTTGCGCACATCCCACCCGACCCAGTCTGACTCTCGGCGTTTGCCAGGCTAGCCCGGGGGGGACTGGGAGCCTACGGGGAGGATCACCAGCTCCCGGGCCGCTTTCAACCTGGGGAACGGGGGCGGCAGGCAAGTCGCCATTGGCCGGGGCACGGCGGGCGCGTGCCCATTGGCCAGGAGGGAGCCCACCCGCTCAGGCCGGGGCGGCCGCGTGGTTGGCCCCTCCCTCGGCTATAAGGCGGCGGCCGGCGGGGCCGTGGGAGCGCGCGGGAGCGCACGGCGGGGCGCGGCCAAGGCTGGGACGCAGCGCACGGAGGGACACGGCCGGGTGCCCATGGCGTTCGCGCTGCTGCGCCCCGTCGGCGCGCACGTGCTGTACCCAGACGTGCGGCTGCTGAGCGAGGACGAGGAGAACCGCAGCGAGAGCGACGCCTCTGACCAGTCTTTCGGCTGCTGCGAGGGCCTGGAGGCGGCGCGACGCGGCCCGGGCCCCGGGGGCGGGCGGCGGACGGGTGGCGGCGCGGGCCCGGTGGTTGTGGTGAGACAGCGACAGGCAGCCAACGCGCGGGAGCGGGACCGCACGCAGAGCGTGAACACGGCCTTCACGGCGCTACGCACGCTCATCCCTACTGAGCCGGTGGACCGCAAGTTGTCCAAGATAGAGACCTTGCGCCTGGCATCCAGCTACATCGCTCACCTGGCCAACGTGCTGCTGCTGGGCGACGCGGCCGACGACGGGCAGCCGTGCTTCCGAGCGGCCGGCAGTGGCAAGAACGCGGTCCCCGCCACCCCCGACGGCGGCCGCCAGCCACGCTCCATCTGCACATTCTGCCTCAGCAACCAGCGCAAGGGGGTAAGTGCTTGGCGCCCCTGTACTGTAGCCGTGGGGTCGAAGGGGACAGTGTAAGCGGCCTCTTACGAAGCACAAAAGGGCCGGATCCCAGTGAAGGGGAGCGGGGAGCGACGTGGAGTTCTCGTAGAGTTCGTGGAGCGTTGGTGCTCCAAGCCCAGGGTTTGGTATGGAACAGAACTACCCGCGTAATGTCTTCCAATCTGAAGGGGTGCAGCAAAGCCCTGAGGCCACGCATGATTTACAGCAGCGATTTTCAGCCTTTTTCATCTCATGCATGCATAAACTAACTCCTAAAATTCTGCAGCATATCCAAAAAACATATTTTTGCCAATCTAACAAAAAAAATAGGTATAATTTGGATTCATTCACACCAGATGGCTATTGCATTGACTGTTGTCATTTTTTTTACCTTGGTGATCTAAGGGAAAAATGGCCAGGTATTGCATGTTTTAAAAATTCATCCAGGGACAACCGCCCCTCAGCCAAAGGTGAGCTAGGAAGAGGGCATGAGGAAATAACAACAAAAGTCGTCATTTTTTGAGCACGTCCTATATACCATGTGCTTTCCTGGTCATCTTGTTGTACCTTTGCAAGAACTCCATCAGGCAGTTAGTGACCCTGCCTGTGGGCCTCTGAGGCTCAGAAAGGTGTCCAAGGGTGTCCAGCTCATGGGACGAAGGCAGTCCAGGATAGTTATGAATGTGGCCCAACACAGAATTGTAAATCTACTTAAAAACTTCTTTTTTTTGCTCATCAGTCTTCATTAGTGTTTGTGTATTTAATGTGTGGCCCGAGACAACCCTTCTTCCAGCGCGGCCCGGAGACGCCAAAAGGTTGGACACCCCATGCCCCACTTACTCGGCTGGGAAGCCAGAAGGCAGGTTCTGGGCTTGCTTGGTATGTGTTGCCCTGAGCTACCCCGACCTTGAAACAGTTGTTTCCTGTCCGAAGACCTGATCCAAGGGCAGGAGACTGAGAGGAAAAGGGGATGGATGCACACCTACAACCAAGAACCTGAAGCGTCCAGCTGATGAGCAGTAGGAGGGAAGAAGGGGGTCCCCTGAGGGCACCAACCCCAAAAGGATGCAGCGCTAGGGGAGGGCACTGTTGAGTTACTGGGCAGAGCTGAAGTTAAGCTCCTTTGGTCCGTCCTGGGTAAGGATGAGAAGCAGGCTGGTAGGGGGTTGACAGGGCTAGGTAGCAGCAGAGGTTACCAGGAGACTCTTCTGGCTGAAAGCTTGTTCTCCTGCCCAAGCGCAAGGAGCCTGCCTCATCCCCAGCCTTTCCCCTTCCTGACCTGGGCTTTTCCTGCCATGAGGAATCTGGTCTTTGTGACAACTTTGGGCTCCGGCAGCTACCATGTACATCTGGGGAAGCGGGCAGAGAATGGCCACAGACCTTTTGAAAGTGAAAGGGCATGGGGGATTGGAGTCAGGCCTCCAAGTGCCCCAGCCTTTGGTTCCCATGGCTGCGCTAGGTCCCTGCTTGCTTCACTCTGTTCCGGGGAAGCCTCAATGTCTTGGCTTCAGGCCACCCCCTTGTAGCGCATCAGACTCCCATTCTGGCCTCTCAGCCCCATGGCTGCCTCAGTTTCCCTGAGTCAGCCTTCTTAGTCTCAGACTTGTACTTTCTTGAGGGCCCCTGCTGCTCTCAGCTGTGAGCCCCTACAGGGTGGGTTGGAAGTCGGGGTGGGCCTTCAGAAGTCCTGCCTGGTGTGTGAGGGCAGACAGGGCCCTCAGTGATACTCCCACACCACCTTTCACCCATTCATTCCGTTCAGCAAACCTGAGCTACCCAACAGCCAGCACCTTTTGTTGACTCAGAACATTCCCAGAGACGCAGGCTGTGGATTTGCACTCACCACGATCAGGAATCCCAGTGGGGTGTCAGGGCCAAGGGCAAGGAGATGGGGACGGGGATGCCGTGGCCTAAGGGTGGAGAGGTGGAGCACAAAGGACTGTCAGAGCCCAGAGGAATTCCCCAGCAGGTGGATGCTTCATTCCCAAGTTCCCGGTGGATGCTTGGGAATGAAGGCGGGCAGATGAGAAGGTGGGGACAGGTGTTCGAGAGTTGTGGTCAGAAACGTGGCCTGGAGAAGGAAACAGGAAGATGTTGAAGGTGGCGGAGCGCAGAGGGGAGGCACAGATTGGCAGCGGTCACAGCGGTCTTGATGAGCATCGATCTCCTGTGCTAAGCACTCTTCTGCACGCGATCATTAAAACTCCTCAGCAACCCAGAAAGGAGGTGCTCTGGCTGTCTCTACCTGCTGACATAGCCCATGATGGAGACAGGATTTGAACTCAGGCCTGCGGGACTGGGACATGGGAAAAGTTAGCGTGGGAGGGCCTGTAACTGCAGGCCTGGGGGAGAAGATGTGTCTGGGTTCTCATGTGCCCACGATAGCTCAGCCGGGGGTTCTCTGCTGGTCTCTGGTCTGCCCCACAGATCACACACGCTCGCCCATGGCTGGCTGCTTCCCTGGGATCTGTTACAGAATCAAGAACCCAGCCAAATTTGGCTGCAGAAGCCATGCTGTCACTCACAGGGTCCTCTGGGAGTAGGTGAGGGGGGCCGTCCTGGCCGGCTCTGGCCCCTCAAAGACTTGACTTGAAGAAAACAGTCTTTCTCGGGGAACTCCTGGGTGGCCCCCTTCTGAGCTTTGGGGGCCAGAGAGCTCCAAGACTCCAGACCCTGTCCCTTCACTCTGAGCTTCCCCTTCCCTCCCAGCTAGCTGGTCTGGTGTTGGGTTCACCATGGAAACAGCTTCTAGCAAGTGGGAGACAGAAAGGGGGTTCTTGTCTCTCCTGTTTCCCCTTTTGTTACCTGGGGGAGCAGATGGGATGGGATCATCTTATAAGGCCCTCCTGACGTGGTGTGCCCAGCCCTGGAGCAGAAGTGGCACAGAAGGCATTAGGGCGAGGAGGTGCGGTTACCGGGTGACGCTGATAATGCAGTACTGCCTGTGGAGGACGCTGAACGCTTACTGTGTTCCTGACACCGTGCTTAGGGCTTTACCTGGGTCAGTGTGTGTAATCAGCACAGTAACTCCCCTTTGCACACGGGGCTCAGTGAGGTGAAGCCACTTGCCTGAGGTCCAACAGGCCATCCAAGGCAGAGCAGAGGCCGAGGCCCAGATCTGTCTCCCTGGAGCCCACTTCCTGACCACAGTGCTTCCCGGGGCCCTTGGCGCTGAGTTCCTGGGAGGCAGAGAAGCTGGACCTAGTCAGGGCCTCTTCAAGTGCTGTTGGCAGTTCACAAGCCTCTTCCGCAGCTGCATTTGCAAGTAGATCTATTTTGCCCCCATTTCACAGATGAAAAAAACTGAGGTCCAGGAAGGTGTGCAGTCCTAGCATTCTCATGGGACTGAGGTCTCTCAGGGACCACCGGACCCAGGATGGAGGTGGCTCTCCCTGAGGACACAGAGTGAAAGGGTAGGGGGCTGGTTTTTTGTCCCCCAGGATCAGCACTAAATTCCCCTGCCCCCACCCCTAACCCCGCTTCTCAGACACTCCTGCCAGAGTTTGTCTGAGAAGCCCAAGCCCCAGGCTCTGCTGGGACTGTGGCCTCGGCCCTCAAAATAGCCCTGCCTGTGAATGAACACGCTGTCCCTGGGCCCAGAGAGCCTCGAGGGAGGCTGGGCTCACATCTGGATGGATCTGCCCCAACCTGAGCCCAGGGGCGGGGGTGGGGGGGCGGGTAGGGGGCAGAGCTCCCAGATGGTCGGCTCTTTCTCTAGATGGCTGAGAAAGATGCCTGTCCCATCAGCTCCTAGCAAGGCCCAGGGAGTGAGAAGGCACAGTGGGGTTTCAGACGCCATCATGCCCTGGAAGCAAGACAGACTTCATGGATTTCCAGTCCAGCCCCTTCACCAGCTGGCTGGGTGCCTCTGGGCCAATCTCTCAACAGCTGGAGGCCTCCAAAGAGGGGAGGCCTTTATTGTCCGTGACCTCGCCGGCTCACAGTGAGGATGAAACCCATGTGTCGGACCTCAGAAGGCTGGGTAGAGACTGTCCCGTGGGGCAAAGGACAGGTGGCTTCAGGGGCCGCCACCATTAGCTCATCTTCCAGTGGGCGTCACTGATTCAAACAACATCATTTGACACCTGCTACATGCCAGGCCCTGGGCTGGAACCGGGGTCACAGATGAAGAACGTTCCCCAAGCTCCCAGCCTGATGCGGACAAAGAGAACCCCAGTCTTTCCCCTTCTGAGTTATCCTGGAGGAATGTCCCCAGAGAGGCGGGAAGTGCTAGGCAACTGCAGGAATGGAGAAACCTTCCCAGGGAGACAGGACCAGAGAGTGTATTTCCTGGCAGAGGGAACACCCTGAGTGAAGGCTGGGAGGAGAAATCCATAATCCACTTTTGAGGTCAATGAGTAAGCCATCGGGCATACAGCCAGGCAGCGGGGATAACCACCGTGGGCTTTGTTTTGCCCTTTCGTGTAGAATACTGTGATTCTTCAATGTATTGGGTCCTTTTTAAAAAAAAGCAGCAAATCACATGGGGAAGAAATGAAGAGGTAAAAATGCCTCTCCCATTCTGTCTCCCCACCACCGAATTCCTCTTCTCTGAGAAAGCCGATGAGCAATTTTCCAGTGCGCCCGTCTCTCTCTCTCTCTCTCTTTCAGTGCACAGGCTCCTGTGTGCCTCTGTCCTTAAATAATGTCACCTCGCCATCATCTGCATCTGTTCATAAAGAGTTTCTTCTGCCTTATGCTGCAGAGAACTTTCCCGGACACAGAGGTGAGTTCCAGTGTCGCGGTGATCTGGTCAAACCTCAGGACTTCTTTTTCCTCTGCTGTAGGGTGGCCGTCGTGACCTGGGAGGCAGCTGCTTAAAGGCGAGAGGGGTGGCCCCTCTTCGGGTACCGCGGAGATGAGCCGAGACCGCTGTGGCAAGTGCTCCAAGCAGGACCCTGGAGGAGGAGGCCAGAGGCCGGCCACTGGTTGAACAGGGGAGAAGACCCCAGGAGCTGATCCTACCCCTCCTTGGCGTAGGGGCCGGAGGACAGTGGCTTGGGCCCATGACCCTCTGGACAGGCCCCCTGGGACATCTCTGCCCCACCCCGGAGAGCTGTGAAGACCCGTCCAGCTGGCCCCGGCCCCAGCTGGTCAGAGACAAGGCAGAACTTCTGCAAAAACAAAGGCTGTTGGAGACCAAGGGTGTATGCACGCCTGTGTGTGTGTGTGTGTGTGTGTGTGTGTTTGAGAGAGACAAAGAGAGACTTGGTGGATTTAAAATAAAAGGTATTTTTAAATAAAAGATGTTCCCAACTGAGGAAGGAAAGGGCCTGAGAACATCTGAGGTCAGAGATGACCCCTCTCGTGGACCTTGGCAGAAGCACAGATGTCACAGGTGCCGCCCTGGGCCCTGGAGGGAGTGGGCTGGGGGAAGGCAGGGAGACCCCAGAAGTCAAGAGAACCAAACTTTCCCTGGAGTGTTCTTGAACACCTCTTAGGTAGCTGGTGTGGTTGATAAAGAAACCTTAATTTTATTCATTTTTGAATAAGGAGTATATTCATCCACATGGTTTAAAATTCAAAAGCCACAAGAAGGTATATGGTGAAAACAAAGGTTGTTGGTAGCAGGGGTGTCACCACCAGCCACCCCTGGCCCTCCACCGACCTGTTCCCTCTGCAGGCAGCCTCAGCCACCAGTTTGATAGGATGTCCCCGTTCCCTAAGAATAACCAAGCAAAAGAGGAAAAAAATGTATTTCTTTCTTCCACTCTTTATGCAAATGGTAGCACATCACACAGGTCTGCTCCTTGCTTCCCCCCACCCCCCCCCCTTGCTTGGCTGTCATCTCAAAACACAGAGGTAAAGTGTCTCCTTGTTTCTTTAGTGGCTGCTTATTCCACTTCACAAATGTGCCAACAGGCATACCTCGGAGATATTGCACGTTCGGTTCCAGACCACAGCAATAAAGCAAGTACCACGATAAGGCGAGTCATAATCTTTTTGCTGGTGGAAGGTCTTGCCTTCAAAACCACCTGTGAAGCACTATGGAGCAACATGCAATAGAGCGAGGTGTACCTGCACTTTAACCAGCCTCTTCCCCCTGTCCTGACAACCAAGGCTGTGTAAGCACAGAGTTTGCCACAAGTGCAAAGAAGCACATGCTAAAAGGAGATGCTCTTACCCCTGTTTTAACTGAGATGGTTCGGAGCAATGATGACACCTAAAAGTGCGTGGCTGGCATGGGGCAGGGTGACGATGTAAAGTATGCTACTCTCCAGTGCCTAACGTGAGCTCCTGCCCCTGTTGGAGATGCCCCAGATGCAGTGCCAGCCCCTGTGACTCCAGTTATTCTCCCAAGAGTCCTGGAAGATTGGGGCTGGTGCTTCCCCATCTCACAGATTCAGCTGAGCTGGCTATGGGGACAATGGTCAGAGGAGCCCGGAGTTCCTGGCTCTCCAGCTGAGGCCCTGTCCCTGTGCAGCCAGGATCAGAGCAGCTCAGGAGGCTGGAGTGAGGGGAAGGCAGGCAGAGCCAGGCAGCGCCCTTTCCTCAAGGTGTGCTCGCATGCTTATTTTCAAAATGTATTTAGCACTTTTACTGTTTTCCAACTGAAGCCTGGCTCCAGAGTCCTCCCTCATAGCCACTCAGCCCTGCCACCCCCTGCATTTGACCCTCTGAGACTGAAGTGGGTCCCACTTTGCAGATCAACAAACAGGTTTAACCCAGTGCCCTCCCTGTGCCAGACGCCACAGGAGTGGGCCAAACCCACCCCTCACAGATGAAAAGCAAAAACTGAGGCCCTGGAAGAACAAAGGGGTTGCTGGAGTTGCCAGTCCGGACTGGAGTGGGCCGTGACACCGCTCCTTGAATCCCTTTGGTACAAGAAGCAGAGGAAGGAGGGCCCCAAGAGGCCAGGGTCCTGGCTCAGGCCAGCTTTCCAAGTGCCCTCTACCTTGCTTCCCCAGTGCTCCAGGGACATGTGTTCCTATCCCGTTGTGCTTCCCCCTTCGGGAGCTAATTAGGAAAGCACATTGCATTCCCCGCACCTACCCAGGTCCAGATCCAGGCAGCCCCTGGCAAAGCCACAGGAAAAAGACTGTGGCCTCGTCAATGGCAGGAAGCCTGGGAGTGGGGGGCAGAGCAGACATTTGGGTGCTCTGGGCTGGAAGCCCACTACTGCCACCAGATTTGCTGGGTGACCTCTGAAAAGTTGCTTGACCCCTCTGAGCCTCTTGGCCTGATCTCTTACCAGCAAAAACAGACTGGACAAAATGATAAGTTTTAGGGGAGACCTTATCAAATAGTTTTTATAGGCCATTTATGCACTGGGTAAGTAAATTGTATTCAATAGTGCTCAGTGAAAAGTACATACCCCCCTCAGGCCCCTCCCCAAAGGCAACTGCTGTTAGCAGTTTCCTGTGTGTCCTTCCGGAAATGCTCTATACTGATGACTGTTTCTAAAATTGTCTTTATAGGTTTCTCTGCTTATGTTTTCATTGTAAAAAAAATCAAATGCAACAAGACCCTAGAGATATCACCCAGCCCAAAGATATGCACAGCCCTGCAGTTTTGTGAAATATACACAATCATTTACAGCATACTAAGCTAAAACGTTTTATCAAAATGTAACATACATGCAGAGCATGCGCAGTTAAGTGTACAGCACAATGAACGGGTTTTCACAAGCTGAGCACACCTGAATGTCCAGCATGCAGATCAAGCGATGCTACTAGCAGCATCCCAGGAGCCCCTCTTCCGCCGTGCTCAGACTGGGTTCTTTCAGTTGTATTTCCTTTGAAGTAGATAATTCACTTCCAGAGTTCACAGTTCAGAAGACACAGTACAGAAGACACTGACAATAACTCCCCCTCTCCCACCCCCTCGTTTCCAGCTCTCAGAAGCAATTACTGATAACCAGGGTCTCGGGGATTCTGTATCTATGTCTGCACAGAGAGTCTTTGCAGATACAGGCAATCACATACAGTTTTTCCACACAAGTCATAGCATTTACACACCATTCTGCATTTTTTCCTTAACAATGCATCTTAGAGACTCTTCCGTGTTCAAACAGCTGCCTCATACTTTTTTCCCAGCTGCATAGTGTTCCATTCTGCACATTTCACAGCTTGCTATCTTCCTTGAGTTCCTGGGAAATGGACAGTTAATGTCTGTGAGCCTTTGTGATCTGCAAGGCCAGACCAACCCACGTGACTTGGGAGAGGCACAGCTGCAGACCAGTACCTCTGGGGGCCATTTGGCTAATACCTCTGCCCCCAACACACACACTTTCTGCCTTCAGAAGGGGCCGGCTAAGCCAGGCCTCCCCAGGCTCCCTGAGGGAAGGTGACTCAGAGCCAGAGGAGTCAAGGAGATCAGGGAAAAGAAACTCAGGGTCAAGGGAGTAGACGATCAACTTCAGCCAGGTCACCTCAAACCCTAAAAGGGAGGCTTAAAATTCCAGGTTGCACCCTCCACCCAAACCTTCTTAGACACAAGGAGCATCAGCATGAACGAGAATGCTCTGGAGTCCCTCATCTCACAATGAGGAGACTCAGCCAATACAGAGGAAGCAACCTGCTGGGCCCCTGGGAACCCAGGTCTCCCTCCTCCAAGGGAGCACACAGGGCCCCTTTCCCTAATTCCACAGTCCCAAATGGGAAGGCTTCGGAGATCACAGTAGGGAAACCAAAGCCCAGAGAGGGACAGCGATGGGCCATAGTCACACAGCATTCCAAGCCACTTTCATTTTATTAGGCTCGTATTCAATTAAAAAAATAAAAACACCACAAAACAGAGTTCCGAAAACTATGGCCTATTTGTCAAGTTAACAGTGCATTGCCACGAGAACAGTAAGTAGAGGATTTACAAAAACATTAGGACATCCATGTCAAGTTGAATATCTCTGTTCAACCCTGTCTGCAGATTTTACTTCATGTGGACGTGACATCAAAAATCTAGACCTGGACAGCAAAATGTAACACATGACCTTGGGCTGCATCCTGTGCTGCAGGGGAAAATGCTGCAGAGACCGTTACTGGGCAGCTGACAAAATAGCAATAAGCACAACAGGGGAAAGGATGTGTCCACGTTACATTTTCTGAATTTGCTAACAGTATGATTATGTAAGAGGGTCTCCCTGTGCTTAAGAAATACACCCTGGGGTATTATGAATGGGTAGAGGGACACAGTGGAGGGGACATACTCTCATATGGTCCAGAAAAAAATGTGTGAGAGAGAGAAGGATAAAGCAAATGTGACCAACAAGTCTGAAAACTTGTGGAATCCAGGTGAAGGGTATGTGGAATTCTCTGTATTACTTCAGTCGCTTCTCTGTGTACTTGTAAAGGACTGCAGAATGAAAAGTTGAAGTCCAGATTTTGGCCTGCTAGGATGTGAGGCCTGCCAGATGGCGTCCTGGCCCCCTCTGCCTCTCCCTTGCCTCAGCTGCTCCAACAGAGGATGGAAAATAACCCCAGTGGACCCAGGCATCCCTGCCCGTGACTCTCAGGCCCCCATGCCCTGTGGGAGGCTAAGGTGTTCCCAGCCCCCAAGCCTTCTGCCACCGTGATTTATGTCCCTGTGAGCCTCAGCAGCTGTGAGCCCGGTCCCGCCAGGCGGTCTGCTGGGGGGGCGGCCAGCTTTTGCTTCTCGGCGTGTCTAATTCAGACCAGACTTACAGACCCCACGGGTCTGGGATCAAGCTCCCGGGGGGCCAGGGTCAGAGGGTAGGCCAACAGGGCCTGGAAACCCGGGAGGCCCTGAGGGTGAACTAGCCGCAGGGCCGGAGACCTGGCCCAGCCTAGATTGGCCCCTTCTCCTGTGTGACCTGGGGTGGCTGTCTGCCCATCTCTGGGTCTTGGTTTCCTTCATCTTGGTACAGCTTGTGCATGGTGGACCAGAAGGACTTTGTAAACTGGGACAGACTAGCCTTGCAGGAGGGAAGACTGGTAAAATTTAAGAGCTGATTTTTTTTTTCTTGAATGCTCAGAACCTCGGAGGTTGGAAAAATGACCGACTACTTTGAGGGCCTACTGTGTGTCAGTCCTTAGTCTTCACACTTTACCTAAGTTAATTAATACAGGTTATTCAACAAGTCTGTACAAGTATTGCCCCATTTCATAGATGAGGAAACTGAGGCACAAGGAGGTTAAAGAATATGCCCAGGGTCACATGGTAGCTGATAAGCAAGTGGATTTGAGCCCAGTGATCCGGCTGCAGAGCCCCACTGGGCTCTCAGCCACTGCCCCACAGGACTTCACTAGATACATATCTAGTCCTGTAAGGGCCCAACCAAACCTGGGCTTCCA